CATAGTATAATAAGTCATAAAAAGGTCATAGTATAGTAAGGCATAAAAAGTCATAAAAACGTCATAGTATAGTAAGGCATAAAAACGTCATAGTATAGTAAGGCAAAAAAAGTCATACTGTAGTATGACATAAAAAGTCATAAAAACGTCACAGTATAGAAAGGCATAAAAACATCATAGTATAATAAGTCATAAAAAGGTCATAGTATAGTAAGGCATAAAAAGTCATAAAAACGTCATAGTATAGTAAGGCATAAAAACGTCATAGTATAGTAAGGCAAAAAAAGTCATACTGTAGTATGACATAAAAAGTCATAAAAACGTCACAGTATAGAAAGGCATAAAAACATCATAGTATAATAAGTCATAAAAAGGTCATAGTATAGTAAGGCATAAAAAGTCATAAAAACGTCATAGTATAGTAAGGCATAAAAACGTCATAGTATAGTAAGGCATAAAAAGTCATAATGTAGTATGACATAAAAAGTCATAAAAACGTCACAGTATAGAAAGGCATAAAAACATCATAGTATAATAAGTCATAAAAAGGTCATAGTATAGTAAGGCATAAAAAGTCATAAAAACGTCATAGTATAGTAAGGCATAAAAACGTCATAGTATAGTAAGGCATAAAAAGTCATACTGTAGTATGACATAAAAAGTCATAAAAACGTCACAGTATAGAAAGGCATAAAAACATCATAGTATAATAAGTCATAAAAAGGTCATAGTATAGTAAGGCATAAAAAGTCATAAAAACGTCATAGTATAGTAAGGCATAAAAACGTCATAGTATAGTAAGGCATAAAAAGTCATACTGTAGTATGACATAAAAAGTCATAAAAACGTCACAGTATAGAAAGGCATAAAAACATCATAGTATAATAAGTCATAAAAAGGTCATAGTATAGTAAGGCATAAAAAGTCATAAAAACGTCATAGTATAGTAAGGCATAAAAACGTCATAGTATAGTAAGGCATAAAAAGTCATACTGTAGTATGACATAAAAAGTCATAAAAACGTCACAGTATAGAAAGGCATAAAAACATCATAGTATAATAAGTCATAAAAAGGTCATAGTATAGTAAGGCATAAAAAGTCATAAAAACGTCATAGTATAGTAAGGCATAAAAACGTCATAGTATAGTAAGGCATAAAAAGTCATACTGTAGTATGACAAAAAGTCATAAAAACGTCACAGTATAGTAAGGCATAAAAACATCATAGTATAATAAGTCATAAAAAGGTCATAGTATAGTAAGGCATAAAAAGTCATAAAAACGTTATAGTAAAGTAAGGCATAAAAACGTCATAGTATAGTAAGGCATAAAAACGTCATAGTATAGTAAGGCAAAAAAAGTCATACTGTAGTATGACATGAAAAGTCATAAAAACGTCACAGTATAGTAAGGCATAAAAACATCATAGTATAGTAAGGCATAAAAAGGTCATAGTATAGTAAGGCATAAAAATGTCATAGTATAGTAAGGCATAAAAAGTCATAAAAAAGTCATAGTATAGTAAGGCATAAAAACGTCATAGTATAATAAGGCATAAAAAGTCATAAAAAAGTCATAGTATAGTAAGGCATGAAAAGTCATAAAAAACTCATAGTATAGTGAGGCATAAAAAGTCATAAAAAAGTCATACTATAGTAAGGCATAAAAACGACATAGTATAGTAAGGCATAAAAAGTCATAAAAACGTCATAGTATAGTAAGGCATAAAAACGTCATAGTATAGTAAGGCAAAAAAAGTCATACTGTAGTATGACATAAAAAGTCATAAAAACGTCACAGTATAGAAAGGCATAAAAACATCATAGTATAATAAGTCATAAAAAGGTCATAGTATAGTAAGGCATAAAAAGTCATAAAAACGTCATAGTATAGTAAGGCATAAAAACGTCATAGTATAGTAAGGCAAAAAAAGTCATACTGTAGTATGACATAAAAAGTCATAAAAACGTCACAGTATAGAAAGGCATAAAAACATCATAGTATAATAAGTCATAAAAAGGTCATAGTATAGTAAGGCATAAAAAGTCATAAAAACGTCATAGTATAGTAAGGCATAAAAACGTCATAGTATAGTAAGGCATAAAAAGTCATACTGTAGTATGACATGAAAAGTCATAAAAACGTCACAGTATAGTAAGGCATAAAAACATCATAGTATAGTAAGGCATAAAAAGGTCATAGTATAGTAAGGCATAAAAATGTCATAGTATAGTAAGGCATAAAAAGTCATAAAAAAGTCATAGTATAGTAAGGCATAAAAAGTCATAAAAACTTCATAGTATAGTAAGGAATAAAAACGACATAGTATAGTAAGGCAAAAAAAGTCATAAAAATTTCATAGTATAGTAAGGCATAAAAAGTCATAAAAACGTCATAGTATAATAAGGCATAAATACGTCATAGTATAGTAAGGCATAAAAAGTCATAAAAACGTCATAGTATAGTAAGGCAGAAAAATGTCATAAAAACGTCATAGTATAGTAAGGCATAAAAAGTCATTAAAAAGTCATAGTATAGTAAGGCATAAAAAGTCATAAAAACTTCATAGTATAGTAAGGAATAAAAACGACATAGTATAGTAAGGCAAAAAAAGTCATAAAAATTTCATAGTATAGTAAGGCATAAAAAGTCATAAAAACGTCATAGTATAATAAGGCATAAATACGTCATAGTATAGTAAGGCATAAAAAGTCATAAAAACGTCATAGTATAGTAAGGCAGAAAAATGTCATAAAAACGTCATAGTATAGTAAGGCATAAAAAGTCATAAAAAAGTCATACTATAGTAAGGCATAAAAAAAACCATAGTATAGTAAGGCATAAAAAGTCATAAAAACGTCATAGTATAAAGGCATAAAAATGTCATAACAAAGTCAGGCATAACAAGTCATAAAAACGTCATAATATAGTAGGGCATAAAAATGTCATAGTATAGTAAGGCATAAAAAGTCATAAAAACGTCATAGTATAGTAAGGCAAAAAAAGTCATAAACGTCATAGTATAGTAAGGCATAAAAACGTCATAGTATAGTAAGGCATAAAAACGTCATAGTATATAGTAAGGCAAAAAAAGTCATAAAAAAGTCATAGTATAGTAAGGCATAAAAAGTCATAAAAATGTCATAGTATAGTGAGGCATAAAAACGTCATAGTATAGTAAGGCATAAAAAGTCATAAAAAAGTCATACTATAGTAAGGCATAAAAATGACATAGTATGGCAAGGCATAAAAAGTCATAAAAATGTCATAGTATAGAGAGGCATAAAAAGTCATAAAAAAGTCATAGTATAGTAAGGCATAAAAAGTTAAAAAGTCATAGTATAGCAAGGCATAAAAACGACATAGTATAGTAAGGCATAAAAACTCACGAACGACATAGTATAGTAAGGTATAAAAAGTCATAAAAAAGTCATAGTATACTAAGGCATAAAAACGACATAGTATAGTAAGGCATAAAAAGTCATGAACGTCATAGTATAGTAAGGCATATAAAGTCATAAAAAAGTCATAGTATAGTAAGGCATAAAAACATAGTATAATAAGGCATAAAAATGTCATAGTAAAGTAAGGCATATAAAGTCATAAAAAAGTCATAGTATAGTAAGGCATAAAAACATCATAGTATAATAAGGCATACAAAGTCATAGTATAGTAAGGTATAGTAAGGCATAAAAATGACAGTATAGTAAGGCATAAAAAGTCTTAAAAAATTCATAGTATAGCAAGGCATAAAAAAAGACATAGTATAGTAAGGCATATAAAGCCATAAAAAAGTCATAGTGTAGTATGTAAGTATATGACTCAGTATAGTATGACGTTTTTATACCATTATACAATATAACTTTTTATGCCTCATCATACTATGATTTCTTTATTGGATGGGTCGGTGACCAGTGGTTAGAACTTTCGTCTCACAGTGAGAAAATTCTGGGTTCCAACCCCGGCCTTGGGGCCTTCTGTGTGGAGTTTGCATGTTCTCCCTGTGACTGCGTGGATCATTCTCAGGTACTCCGGCTTCCTTCCGCAGTCCAAAGACATGCGCATTAGGTTAATTGGCAACTCTATTGCCTTACTATTCTATGACTTATGACATATATTTGACATATATGTCCCTATATCAAGAGTGATGTTACAATATGTGTGACATAAAAGAGGATATCTTATTATGACATATATACATTCTCTGTATATATGAAGAAGTTTATAACATATACATAATATGAACATATTCTCACAGGCTTTGGGATAGATATGTATATATGTGATATAATGTCTATAATATAAACAGACATATTAAAATACATGTTTAGGTAGACATACATGTCAATATATGATATTGTTCCAAATTCTAAGAGGTTTCATTTATTAATTTTTACATATATAGGCTTTACCTTAAAAACATATATTATTTTACATCATATGTACATATATTTCATATATGAAAAATGCAACACGTACATATATTACATTTGCGCATGGGCATTTCTGAATGTAAATTAAGATCTTGTTATGTTAATAAACTGTTTTGATGAAGGCATTAAAAAGTCAATTTCTTTGTTTTAAAATGGGTGGCAGTGTTATTGCCTCCCTACCAATGTTGAGACCAAACTTGCACCTTTGGTAACAAACACCACCTGCTGCCACCTCTAAAGCTCACTAACTAACACATTACATATATCCATTCTGTTAATCTGTTCAGAAACTTAAGTGTAAAAAGTGACAAATTGTGGACTATTTCAAGGCAGAGAGCTACAACTTTCTTTTTGCCATCACCACACACACTTAAGAGTGGTATCTAACTTGTCATTGATATCTCAGCAAGAAAGCCAATGAGAATATTTCCATAATGTCTATTGCTTAAATTACTCAAAATACAAAATTCTTTGACTTCCACTAAATGGAAATTCACTTTTTAATTGTACAAGTACAGAAGATGATGTGATGTGTTGAATATGTAATCAATAATGACCTGCAGTTACCTTTCTGAGCTTTGAGGTTACTGAAGCCTTGTAAAGTAAAGCGTTTTTTAGCCACAGCAGCTCTGTCTGAGGTAGGGCTTGTCACAGCCTCATCTGAGACAGAGGAAAAACAAGAATACAGGACGTACACAAAGAAGGAAGGAAGGAAGAAGGAAAGTTAACCAAGTGTAAAGGGAGAAAATCAATATAGAGGGAGAAAGATATGTTTTATCATCAGAAGAGGGGAAGCAAAGAGGTACAGTGGTAAGTGTAGTTAGTATCATACATGTACTACAAATGCTAAAGGCAGATTTGTTAAAAGAAAAAAAAGATGTGTTGCATCTGTCTCACAGGATCTCTCTTAGTCTCACCTTTTCCTGTGGGCTTTGGTGAAGAAGAGGAGTTGACATCAGGGCTGCAGGGTTCAGCTTTCTTCTCCTCTCCCTTTTTAAAGCTCTTCTGACCGGTCTTGAATGGACTGTGGGGAAACAAAAGTGGAACGTAAGAATCTTGAACAGTCTCTGGAAAGACTGGCCCAAAGACTGATTACTTAGGGTTCACTTTTAAAAAAGCCACCACAAATGAAACTCACCTGAGACTTACTGTTGCACTGGGCACAGGGGGGAACTGGAAAACCTGGTCTGGTGCCCTCTGCTGGCTGGCTTCTGAAACACAGAGGGAGAATGTAAACAAAAACAAGGATTGTACTTTCATAATCATTACAGCTAAATCATTAGTCTCTCAGTTTCTGGTTAAAAATAGATATTAGTGTAACCATGACCTGAAATTGGACATTAATTTGAAAAAAAAAGAAAAAGTTTAACCTCTTTCTGTACCTCTGCATGCTTCCAGCTGAGTTGTCAGAACCTTCCTGATCTCATTTACCCAAGTGGTTTTTACTTCAGTTGTTGGTGCCTGAAATAGGACAATTAGATATTAAAAGGCTGAGTGTAAACTGTGTAACGCTTGTCACTGTTGCCAGGAGATAGACAGCCCCATTTTTGAAATACAGTACATTGTACTTAAAACATAAACCCTGTCTTTATTTTGAAGCACATTCCTGAAAAGGCTCAGTAATTTCCTAAAACCAAACATTAATAAAACAATGTTAAATTGTTGGGGATCATTTTCAGCCTCAGGATTAATAAGTGCAAGTGAGAATTCAGGAAATAAATGAGGGATTGACTCAGAATAAATAGTTGTAGTGAAGGAACATGTCACTCAATGCAACACTGTGACTGACTGTTGTGTTTTTAATATGTTTTGGACAAAAATTAGTCCCTTTGGCATAGTCCAGAGGAAATAGATTTTGACTCTATAGAGAATACTTGTCAGTCATTTTGGTCATTTCATGGGATTTTTGACAATTAGAAAAAGTTTGAATATAAGCAGACTCTTAATTTTTACGTGTTAATTACCTGAACAATATAAACCTCTTCTCTTGAGTTGCACCAGATTTCAAACTTCTTGTTGTCTCCCTTTGCATTCTCAGTAATGCCCACTGCACTCATCTGTTACAAAAGATAGCAAGGTAAAAATGTAACACATTTTTGTTGAATACAAATGGATGGCTGTTCAATACACAAGTGTAGAGATGCTCACACTCAGTGACTGTTTGAAGCTGTATGAGGGAGCTTTCTCGTAGCCTTCCCCATTCTCCTCCCGCCTCTTGCAAAAGAGCAGGGCTTTCTCATGGAGGAAGAGGTGTCTCTGCATGGGCTTGAAACGGGCCAGATCCTTAACCTTGGCATGGCCTTTCTTGTGCTCCGTCCACACGCTGAATGACCCTTGCATCAGCAGCTTTCCCAGCTCACTCAGATTACCCTGAGAAAGAGAAAGATGTCTTAAGATGGAGTTGATTGACCACATACTGCTATGTTCTAAAATACTGTATAGAGGTCATCATTTTAAATATTAATACATTGTTTAAACAACTCGACCTTTGATCCATTTAATGTATCTGTGTCTTTCCTCTGAACAATGTGTCTATACTTGGAAACCGCTACCAAGTACATATGTCCATATGTCATGTTTTGTCTGACCAACAGTCCACAAATCAAAAGCGGTTCAGTTTCAAGTCATGCACGACAAAGAAAAGGACCAAATTCTCAAACCTGAAAAGCTGGAACCAACTAAATGACTTAAGTTATTATTTCAATTATGAAAATGGTTGGCTGTTAATTTTCTGTTGATCATCTAATTGATTAATCGACTAATTGTTACAGCCCTAACAGATTTAATGTTGAAAACAAGATCTCTCTTATCATCCCAAATTCAACAATATTTGTCACAAATAATCATCACACATGAAGTGACACACTGAAAAAGAAAGATCATGCCTGATACTACTCTTTTATCCCACTGGACTATTTTGGTATTGTGATTACTGGGTAAATGTTGCTGTGTGTAGTTTTTATTGAGAAACATGATTTTTGACTATATAGTGTATACAATTTGATTTTGTATTTCTTAGTTTATATTTAACATGTGGCCAGTTTTGTTGTTGCTTTTCTCTTTTTACTGCAACAGTTTCGCCTCTGCCTTCTTGTTGATCATTTCCTTCTTTAAATGACTGAGACCATCATGCGAGTGAGACCATCCTTGACATCACACTTCACAGATGAGTTTGGCTTTCACACGATATCTTATTCAAAGGCTACGCTCAGCATGTCTTTGTCTTCCATTTTCTATCGGTGACGTATATCAAGCATCTGTTCTGTGATTGATGAGCCTGGATCCTGTTCAACGTCTAACCTCATATCCTGTAATGGCGATGAGGTGCATGGAGTCATTGACGGCCTTGAGGATGCCCAAGATGGAGGTCAGCGCCTCCTGCAGGTCAGCAGCCCCCTCACGGCCCTTACTGTACTTCAGCATTTCCTGTAGTTAGAAAATGGAAATAGGAACCACATGGATAAAAAAACTCAAGTCCCACAGAAAACGAAATTTAACAATCCAGTTGACTTGTCGGTAACAGACAGTATGATACCTTCAGTAGCAGCTGATATTTGGTGATCCTCTGAACAGGCTTCAGCAGATAAGAATCTAAACCCAGTTTATGCTCCAGCTTTTTCTGACACTCCTGAGGCAACAAAACAGAAAAGAATTACGTTAAATAAAACACACAGATGAACATAAAGCTCAAAAGCAAATTATCCATCGGTCTGTTCACCTGGAAGAAGGCGCAGTCTGAGCACTGCCTCCAGAGGCTTTCAGAGCGAGGCTTATTGTGACAGTACTTCTCATAGATCTGCAGGTCTGTCATCTGAGGAAGGAAGTGCAAATGATTTGTGATCAGGAAAACCCCATCAGCAGCACTACTGTATTCACATCTCTGTGCTGAAAATCTCAAAATTCACTCACCCTCTGTAGAAAACACCTTCCAACCAACTCTGGGCAGTCGGTGTACAGCTCCAGCTCTCTCAGAAACGTCCTGGAAACAACAAAATCATGACAGAGAAAGTATGAGGAAGAGTGAGAGAAAAGATAAAGAAGATTGATTGAAATGCTGTTCCTGCAAAATGTCACAGTCACAGCGTAGGTATCATCAATGACAGCCAGATGGCGCTCACTCACCTCTTGTGGAAGTGGTAAATTTCAGGCATGTTGCCAAACAGAATCTCCTTTTTGTTCTGCAGAGGAGCAGGGATGAGGTGAGACACTGCTGGATTATCCATCTCAGAGGCATAACCCTGTGACACACACACAATTGCAAACATGAAATTTCAGGCACAGGTATAAGACTGACAGAATAAGAATCCTTCTGTGGAGTGAATAGACACCTGCAATACACAGAGCAGCTCCTCTACATAGGCTCTCTCAGTTTCCAGCAGCTCGTTCATCACGTGCCTGCAGACAGAGGGAGAATAGAGAGTGAGGCAGGCAGAGAGGCAAAAAGAAGAGGGATCAAATAAAGGATTTGGTGGACTCAGAAAAAATAGATGCACAGCCCTATAGATAATGAGATAACTTTTCAAACAGTCCATCTGCCGTGTAATTTGATTACAGATGAAAGAGCGGCAGCTGATCCCCTCACCTCCTGAGCACTGCCAGGTTCTCCTCCTCCTCTGACAGAGAAGCATGTCTGCTGTTATTGTCTCCATTCTGCAGTTGGCCTTTTCCCTGAGGGGGGAAAAAAAAAACAACAACATAGGATCAGCATGATAAGCAACAGACAATATAAACCTAACAGAACAAGTGGACAGACAGTGCGCAGAGACAAACTCACTTTCTCACAGTTGGTCCCAGAGTCCGACTCTGAGCAGTGTTTCTCCTGCTGAGCTCTGTGTGCTGTGGATGAGGAAACAGAGTCATCATTTTTAGGTTATTAAAAGCATCAGTCCAATGCAATATTTGAAGCATTGCACATATATTTACATACGAATATATAATTACATATTGTAATTCTGAAGATCATCTGAGTGAGGAAACAGATACAAGAAATGTTTTGGCTTTTTATTTTACTGGAAATCACCTATCCATAATACAGTAAGTATAAACTGTGATCATTATAATGGTGCATCTGTACCAGACAATATACTGTTTATTTCTCATGTTGTCACTGTCTGTGTTTTTACACATGGATAAATAATGCTGCAAACATCTTGGGATTTTGCATTTGTTATGAAATTTTTTTTTAAATGATATGGTTTTAGAGTTTTAATAGTCTTAACATATTCATTGTTTTATATTACAAAATATAAAATAAAAGCTTTGTCCTGCTATGCATAAGCAAAAAGCAATAGCAAGAATTTTCAACCTTATATGCAAAGAATTTCATGATGAAACAGCCGGTAGAATAAAGCATTTTTCATTTCTTGTTAGAGAAATCACTAATGTTTCTGAATTCACGAGTCGACCTACCTATTGTTCATTTACAATTTCTAGGTTATTTGTGTCTACAATGAAAATTTCTACAGTATATGCTATAAGTGAGATAACGTGAAATATATGTATAGGGTTACACATAGTGCAAATAGCAATGTGGTCATGCAAAGTATAAAGAACATAAAATCCTTCTGAAAAGACTCTACACAGTGGAGAATAAATGGCCCATGTGTGGCTGTGTGGAAACTGACCAGGTGAGCTGAGAGGGGATTTGATGAAGGCCTCTGGTCTGGGGGCTACCGGCTGCACCGGCCTGGTTTGTTTGGCTGCTAGCTTCTTCAGGCTGACCCTCCTCTTGTCAAACATCTCCTGCATAGATACCTGCTTCTGGAAAATCTTCTCCACTTGGTCCTGACACACAGGAAGTCATCAGAGCAGTGTCAGTACATCATTATATTAATATTTGATGCTTGTTTAAGTAACTAAGTGAGTCAGCAGATCATTTAAACATTCATCATCATTTGTTTAGCATATTAGAATCAATAAACCAGTGCCACAATCAGTGGAGACCTGATACCATACTGATGTTAGACAGATGTGCACAATAACAGTGGTCAATGGACAATGGTCATATCTATTTACAATAACTGCATCAAGTTGTTACTATCTATTTAAAAGTGACAGAGTGATGTTTAAAAAGTGCAACATACGTTTTCTGTGGTTGGTCCTCTTACCTTGAACTGCTGGTTGAGCACAGCCTCATATTCTTTCCCGATGGTGCTGAGGTCTGTCAGCTGGTTCTGGCCTGCGTTATCCAGATAACGCTCCAGCTCCTGCAGGGCTAACTCAGCCCCCTCGTGTGACTGACACTTGTCTACTGGCTGAGATGCCAGCAGGTATATACCGTCATCAACCCATTTAGAAGCCTGGAGACGACAGAAGGTGTGGTCAGAAACAAGACAAGGAAACTACACTATGAGTGTCTGTGTGTTGTCTTCTCACCCTCTCCAAACATTGATGTAGCTCCATGGCTTTGAGGAGATGGTCCTTCTTGGCCCTCAGGCTGCTGCTCACGCTCTCGCTGACCGCTCTGAGCTCGCTGCATTTGGGCTGAATGGAGTCTTCAGCATAGTGCGAGTTCTGGATAAGTTCATCACCCTCACGAGACAAGGCCGAGGCTCTATCCAACACCTCCTGTGGAGCAGTGTGGCGTGACAGTGATTACCTCTGCCAAGGGTGCTTTCACCAGTCTTCTAGCAAACTTCATCTGATTTTAACCAAATCTGCTACACATCCTGATGAGCCTGAAATCTGGACTCTCCTCTTTACATATTCTCTACATTTTTCCTATATTGGCTGTGAATTTCTGTGATCATAAACTCCCAATATTTTTGAGTCCACTGTGCAATTATGACCAAATTCTTAGGAAACTATGAACATAAACTGCTACATTTTATGGGATTTTACCCAAAGACGCTGCTATTTAGAAATGAAATTATTCATAATTTACACTATTTGCACTATTAATTCTTGTGCAAAGCCCTAATATTCCCAAAAAGATCACTTTCCTTTTAGCTCCTCTATGAGAATAAAGGCCATCATCAACATGCTTCATATGTATGTTTTGATTCAGATCCGGATTAGAATGAAACCATTTAAAAGATTATGCAAATTATCTAAATTTAAATTTAGATGACTGTGCAGCCTTGGCAGAGCATTACGCTCAGCTTTGTTAATTAAACTGTGCTCATTCACACCTTATTCAGGAAGCTACTACATAGATACTGTCATATGCACAGTATTATGAATATGATTGTGATGACAAAATGATATATGATGACAAATTATAACAAAATGTAAAATGGTATTACAAGCTAAATTTCTATTAATTTTCCAACCTCCTGATGACAAAAAGTCTACCTGTCAGGATTATTGGAGTGACATTAGATGATTTGTAACAGAGACACAAACAGAACTGCACATTCAACAAACCAAGATATTATTCAGCTATTCATGCTATGATTGGACAAAGCTTTGATTGTGAGGGGTCAGGTATTACTTACACAGACTCTCTCCTCATAGGTGGTGAGTTCACAGAAGATATGTTCAGCGTGGGCTGGGCTGATCCCAACCTCAGAGAAGGTTGCAAGTTTCTCAGACACCTGATCCAGCAGAGCCCTCACCTGCAGCAGAAACACCTCAGTCAGTTTTCAGGTTTGAACAGGGATCATGTTGACTGAGATCTAGTACGGAGGCTCACCTCTCTGTAGTTGTGCTCAAAGTGGCGCAGTTGGAGACACTGCTCCAATTTGGTGTGATGCCTCACCCAGAACTCATCGAAAGCCCTTTCTGTCTCATCCAGCTGAGACAGCAGTCTGACAGAGGAGCAGAGAAAGAGATGGGAACAGTAAAAGACAGAGATGGAGATAGACTGTAAAAAAGCAGGCAGTTGAGTAGAAAAAAAAATGCAGTGGGGGAGAATGAATAAAGTACAAAATGCACCACAAATGCTGACTGAGGTATTTGGATATTTTTCCTGTGTTTATGTGTGTGCATGCTGTGTAGAGCTAATGCCTGTTGACAAGGGAATCAGTGCCTTTAGTGCTGCTCAAAATACTGGCTGACCTCAAAGCACACTGCCTCGGCAAGTGTTACTGCAACTATACTGACGGTAGGAGATGAGACGCCACAAACAAATTACCTGCCATCAAATAACACCAAAGTCTCCTGGCTTTACTCTTTGTTAAATCAGATACACCACTGACAGTCTGTATAACAATAGTGGCACTATATTTTTAGTCCAACTAACATATTATCAAGTCACTGCAATGTTGAAAACTGTTGACCTAAAAACACTGACTTTTCCTCATCAACAGCGAAAAAAACTCACAGCATTAATTTGTATGAAATGGAGACAAGCAAAGAAGCTGTAACTAAAGATGTTTGGTACTTTTTCTTGATGATTATCAATAAAAAATGATCAGTTACAAAATGAAAAAAAAAATTAACTATTTTCTTTCAATTTCATATTTGAATAATTCACACAATAATTCACAAATATCTAGTAATGACAATAAAAAGCATATTTTTCATTCAGTTTCTGATTTGTCAGTACATGTAGTTTTGGCACCTTATTTAATCTGTGTTTAATAAGTGTTATGGTAACCATAGCAGTTTGTGTTAAATGATATATAAAACTCCTGACTTAATATCACTTCCTGGTTCCTGTAGTTTCCATAATGGATTTGACAGAACCCGCTTGATTCTGTCTGGTTTTCAACAGCCATCCTGCAGCACTATGAGCTCTTGTGGTTCTAACCTTTGCACTGTAGCAAGGTTCTCTAGTTCATCCTGGTTCATGTTGTGGTCAGGGTCTCGTACTACAGGCTCATTGATGCTCTCCAACAGCCTGCTACCCTGACCCAGAGCCACCATCAGATCCTCCTACAGACACACCGAGACAGATAGAGGATAATCCAAACAGATAAACGATGTATTGTATGTAGAAATATACAGAGAAGTAAAGCAAAGGTGTGTATGTATATGAATGGTTACCTTCATTTTTTCTTTCTTGTTGGTGTGTGTGCTGAGCAGGATGGTTGTGGCCTGGATTTCATTTGGGAGTTCAGTTTCAGCCAGCTCAGTCCCAAATGACTGCAGGATCTGTGCCGTTTTCTTTACCATCAGCGCAAAGCCTTCAATAGCCTGACGTGTACAAGACACAACAGAGACTGTCTGCATGCATGTTTGTGATGAGAGTCAAGAAAATGTGCAGTGCCTTCATTTTTTAGATTCAGGTGCTGCAGTATGATGCTGATGTAGTGAGACATGAGGGTATTTTTCATTGACTGAATATTTCGTTTCAGCATCCATGGTCCTTTTTATGATTTTACCAAAGTGAAGATTTTTTATGGAGGGTTTCCAGCCTGAAGTAGAAACATGTTTTGCTCAATCAACTTTCATCGCACTATTGTATCTTGTCTATCTCTCATCTATCTTGGCCTGAGCTTCTTAAATCTGACTAAGTCTCTTTGTCTCCTGTTTATTTTATTGTTATTTGTATTTCTCACCTTTTTACATGCACTCATTTCACTATATATATATATATATATATATATAGACACACACACATTTATTTTATTTGTAAGGCTCCTTGTAATGACTGTGTGTATTTTAACCATGCTAGTAATTCAGTGTAGGGTGGTGTGTACTGTACAGTGTACATACAGTGCGGTGAGAGATCCACTTCTCATGACAGTACTCCTGAGTTCCCCCGAGTTCCTGGGTCAGCTGGGTGCGGTCGATGTAGGAGTGCAGCTCAGTTATAGAGCTCAGCATGATCACCTGAGAAAGAAACACACTCTTACCTATATGTCATCTAATTATAAATAAGATCAAATGTCAATATTAATCATTGTTTGATATATATACACAATGTTTCCACAAGTGGGAGAGTGACTCCACTCACCGGCACCTTCATCTTGAACTCATCCTTGTTGAACTTGAAGAGGATGTCGGACAGTGTGCGCTGCAGGAGGGTGGTGGGCCTCAGAACCAGGACCAGCTGGAGGTTCCCTGGGAAGGAGCCCTGAAATTAGGGAGTAGATAGAGACTGTCACCGATGTAACAAAGCAGACAGGATCCTCCTCCACTGTGAGTCAATTATACATCACACTTCAGCCAGACGTGTCCTGTTCTTTTTTGCTGACAGCCAGCACTTCCTCTATATTATTCCCTCCTTTTGTCTCTGCGTCTGTCTCCCACATGAAAACTCTCACTCAAACACATTCGAACATGCACATGGAGTGTGTGGAGTACAAGCGAATAGGGAAGGTTGTGGGGGATGCGGGGGATCCTGTGGCAGGGACATTAATCTTCATGTCCCCAAGATGCCTTTGCATGAATAACGAGGCAGAAAGAACCAGCACCAGCTCATAGATATGCACAGGCATGATTACAGTCTACCCAGTTGGCATTGTTAGGATTTAAATTAGCATAGTTTTGATGCATTTGTTAATACAGAATGATGCACAGGGTAAACGTTTTACTTTTTTTAAAGCCCTAAGAGGCAAATTTATGATTTGTGATTTTGGGCTGTATAAATTAAATAGTCATCTCTAACAAGCATACTCAGCATAAAGCAAAGAATCACTTGGCTTTACTAGACACTTTTGGAACATCCATATGAATCCCCTTTTCCTCATTTCTCATGCTATGTATCCACCATACATTCAACTCAGCCAACAGAACCAATAAAATGCCAATTTAAATGTCCGGATTGACACCCACTGACAGACTAAGTACTGCTGTGAAGGCACTTGGATGATGGTTGAGGGTGGACATGGACAATGCAACTATTAAAGCAGCTTTAATTAGCTAATGACCTAAACAGATGCTTTGCCTGATTGGCTGTCCTCCCCAAGTGAGTTGAAGAATGCTGTTCTCAGCAAAAATAAAAATGAAGACTGTTAATAAAAAAAGTCTTAAGATCTGCACCGTTAATGGAATTATTAAATCAATTCAGTGTTATTCCTTGCTGACCCGGTGGAAGGAGAATAATTGTGTTGAAACTCACTCACCATATGGGGTTTTTTTTGCCTCCACTATTTTCTCTGGGGAAAAAAAGGGAATATAAGGCCTGTAGCAGCACTGTCAGTGTCAGAACAAAACACACCTGACGTAGCAATACTAGGGCCAAAGCACCACACAGGTGGGATTATTTAGTCTTCTTTAAAGATTAAACTAAATATTCATGCTCACTGATTTGTCTTGTGTAGGAAAGAATGGGTTTAGGGGTAAAGGCCCCAGACAGGGTAGAGAAGTAGGAAAGTATTGAAAGAGACTAATTCACTGCTGATTTTTATTTTTTCATGAGATTTGTTATCAACAAAAACAATATAGAATATCTATGTATAATGTATATTGTAACCATTCAACCATGCTGCTCAGATCTGTCATCACTGGCAGTTGTGGTCATGGTCTACATGTTCTTTGTCACTGGCAGACTGTGAGATGAATGCACACACACACACACACACACACACACACACACACACACACACACACACACACCCTTGAAGAAGAGCCAGATAAATGAAGGAGAGGGGGGTATGCTTTAGGGACCAACACTGTAGACTTCATTAGGATCAGCCTGTAAACACACATCGTGTCCGTCATCAGATCAAACTCAGCCATGCACAGCAACGGGTAGCTTTCCATGAAACACACTGACCCACATTCACACAAGCACATGTGTACACAAGTGTGCTCATATACATAGACACAACAAGACAAAGAGATCCACTCAACAGCAGAGACGCTCTCACTCAGATCCACACACGTACCCACTGACTAAATAACCTAAATACGTCACAGTGTGCTTAGAGTATGATTTAATATAGACCATGAGTTAGTCTCCACTGTACACAGATAATAGCAGCTTAGAAAGTCCAGTTTCCATCATGATGTATTTAGCAGGCTGGCTGAATCACCCCAAACAGGACATTATTGCAGGGATGACTGAATGCCCCCTATTACCAGCCTGTCAGCCCGTAAAAGTCCCCCTTGTGGGATTAATAAAGCTTGATTTAATTTGAAATGAATGAGTGGGTCTCTCATGTCTCTGGAGACAGCGGGTGGTGATATTCATCTCTCATTCTCACAGACGTTTCATCTTTACGTGTAGTCCACTGTGTTGATTTATTATTTTTCTGCCATTAATGATACACCTGTGAGGATCTGTCCAAAACAAGTATTAAATGACTTCAACATTTTTATTCTATACAATATTTCTGAAAAATTCAAATGTTCAACAATATAAATTGACAACAATAAACATGTCTACACTACACTGGCAGGGAATATAAGGGTGGCATTGCAATGAGTGAAGCTGGTAAAGCTGTTAAAAACTGGGTGCTAGTCAACTGTCCATTGTTTTATCCCAAAAAATATGCTAAGAGATTATATGATGGGGGTGATTCTCTCTCTCTCACACACACACACGCACACACACACACACACACACACACACACACACACACACACACACACACACAAAGATATAGATATGCCGGCTCATTGTCCAAAGGAAAGGACTGAAACAGTGAGAAGGACCAGAAGGTGGAAATCAAATGATTAGTTCTGTTGCTCAACAGCTAGATTCCTCTTATTCAGCAACATGGTGACATGTCACATGGTGAGATGAACCATTAAAATGGAAAATAAATGATGCACTAAATGGAAGGGAGACAGCATGTAGCAAAAATATGCAGCAGCTCATCACAGTACAAAAAAAAAGACTCAAATTTAGGAGGCTAATAGGATAGATCGTAAAATAGGCTGAGAATTAGGTGTCCATTAATTTATCTGACTCATCTAAAGTAATTAAGTTTAGGCCTTTTTTTTTTTTTTTTTTTTTTAAATGTGTTATTAATAAATCAACTTGAAGAGATGAGTGATATTTAAATGAATGAGTGAACAAAAAAAAGTCATCTCCTTCTGTCTTTTCTGGTATGTGACTGTTTATTTTGCCCCGTAGCTATGGAAACACATGGCACGCTGTGATGGTGATGGGACAGAGTTCAAGGATGGTGTTGGCTCATATCAACCCCCCAAGGTGGTGGTGATGATATTAGTGGTGGAGCTGCGAAAAAGAAACAGGGATGCTCCAACACCTCTCTGTGGCCTGACAAACCTGCTCCCCCCATGGGTGAGGGTGCAAGGCCAGTGCCGCTCAAACCCTGGTCCTCTCTCCCGCACAGACGCACAGACACAAAGACACTAACAATGCACGCAGGAAGAAAGTGCATGGTCACATCTGCAGACACAAAGGCAAACTTACTGCAATACGGAGCAGGGTCCCCTTAACAGCCGCCCATTTGTCTTGCCGGCGATCAATGACCAGGATGAAACCCACGCCTGTCGACGACAAGCTGGAACACACAGAGGCAGCATGTTTAACACAAATGACACACTGGTCCGTTTGACCCACAGAGATAGTTCAGGGGTCAGCACCACAGTCAACGGCAAGATGAGATCATATAAACTGACTAAACTTTAACCAGATAGCCACTTTTAAAAAGACAGAAAAGTAGTGAGCCCACAAAAAACATTACAGCGTAATGAAGAAAAAACAAAACATGAAAACATGCGGTGAAGAAGCCGGGTGCTTGTTCACAGCTAGCTGTTTTGTTATGCTGCTCTTTATCTTCTTAGACAGCTGGTGCAGTCCATAAAAGGAGATGCTGTGAAGCACCTCCAGATTTCTTGGCCATCAGCCTCAAGCCCCCTGTACTCTCTCTGCGCACCCCCTTCCCCTTCCCCCTGCCGTCTCTCTGGTCCCAGAAGAGGGGGGGGGCTATACATCAACAATCACATGTGCAGCTCACCAGCAGAATCCCCTGTGCTTACCTGAAAACATGATGCACCTACAGCATAGGTGACACATGCGCACCTTAGCACTGTCAGTACCTTTCTTGCAGAAACATGCCAGTGATCTTCAAGTATTTACTTTCATATCCTCCATTTTAAAACTATCAACTGCACAAACAGGGTGGCAGCAGATTAAAAGGGCACTCCTTACGACAAAAAAGACAAAATAAAAAACACAGGAGTTGAGTAGATCCCAGCGTGTGCTGTGTTGTTTGAAGGGGGAGGGAGCCGAATGCCTCAGACCATCACAGAATCCAGCCCCTGCATCCCCTGTGCGGCATCTGTAAGCTGTCCAATGAGACACTGGGAGCTGCTGGGACACAAGCCAATCACAAGATGGCTGCAGAATGATGAGCAGCTCTAGTAGCTAATCAGTGGATCCTTATAGAGGTGGGGCGGGAGACAGGCTCAAAGAGGATGGCACTATGAGCATGAGGGTTTCAGTTATTAGGAAAATACAGAATGTTTATCAATGTCTGCCTCTCTACTTTATACTCTCTCTCTCACTGTAACATTTACATTCATGATGGCTCTTCTCATCCTTTCTTCCTGTACTTTCCCTCCCCTTTCATCTTTTCCTATTCTCTTCCTCCATCATCCCCACCTCTCAGCTCTGCGTACAATCACCTACACAGACTCTCAAAGCCACTCGGGCTTTCAAAGCACAATCTGCTTTACATCTCAGCCGCAGAGGAGGAGGGAGGGGAGTGGGACAAGTGCTTTTCTGCCTCTGAGACATTTATGGCTGCTGAGATGAGAGGGTGGTTTATGGTGAACATACAGCAGCACAGGTAAAGGAAGAACATCAGAAGAGCCTGATGAAATGGCCCTCTGCAGCTGCTACTAAACCACAATGACCCAAACTGCATTTCAGCTGACTGCCCTATTTATTTTTTCAATAATAAATGTCATGATATATTCACATATGTTTGTTATCTGTTCTGTTTCTTATTGTTGTATTGGGGCAGAGGGTTTAAACTAGCTTTTGAGCTAACCAACATTTACTCTGCACTTTGAAAACATCCTGTTCCCCTACAAATAAACAGTGTATGTGATCAGCATTTAGACTAATTCAGTACTTATACTGCATCAAAACACAGTTCAAGGAACAACTTCTAATCTTGTTTTATAAAGAATTTTGAATTTATAAAAATGTAAATGGACACATATATAATTATCATGCTGTGTTGTAAACATACATCAAAATTCATAGAAATTGCCTGGTGATGTTGTGGCTGCACACGTGTGTGACGAGAGTCCTAATAATAATTGGATTGCTCAGGTCAAAGTGTGTAGGAGCACCGCAAGCTGTGACTTGAGCTGTGAAAAAGCTCTGCCTAATGGCAATGCAGTGATGAAGGAAATTTGCTGCATGAATGCATATGCAGACATAGCAATACACATACTGCTACACCCCTCCTCCTTCTTGAGTACTGAGCATAGCAGGGAAAGTGACTGTTTGAATACAAGGGCACTGGTATATTAAATTAAAAACAGATTAGATAACCATGAGCGAAGAAAGCATTACAATTATGGCCAGATAGTTTAGGGTTACCTGTATTTTTTTTTTTTTTTTTTTTTTTTACATAAATCCATGCGTGAATGCACATATGCAGAGCCAAGGAGAGATAAAATGAAATAAGGAACATCATCTGTGCAAGGACACAGTAATTAGTTCATTTACTGTGTTTGCAGATGCAAAGCCTGATGTAAATCAATTAGGATCCAGAAAATCAAACAAGACAAAAATTAATTCAATATTCAACACATCCAAACTTTAGCTGTAGTAAAAATGACATTTATGGTTGATATATAATGTGATTACAAGCATGCACGTTTGGTATGATAGAATTAACATTTGAAATCATGCATGCAATTGATATTGATCCCAATGTATTCATTTAAAAAAAAAATAGTAACAGCTGTTCAAGGTCGTAATACACAGATGCAGCATATTTGCCCCTGGTTGAGGACTATATATGCCCTGTCGGGGGTGTTGGTCCCTCAGGTAGCTCCAGCCATCTGTTTCTGTGTTCACAACAGCTTCTGTGGATGACCCCCCTTCAGATGACCGGTAACCTCTACACACCACAGAGGAGGTGAATTTAGACACTTAAAAATAGATGAAAATTGTATTTGCCTGTTGGCTGCTTTTCAGCTTGGATTTGGGGGGAGAAAATCATTCTCGTGGCTCAGAAGTTGAACAGTAATACAGTGTACACATGAAAAGTTAAACACAATACATAATAAAGTCTTGGTCATGCTAAAATTGGAATGAATAATTTAAGCAACATGAGATCAGCTAAACGGACATAAAGGCCTTTAAACACAAACACATGTACTGTGTGCTGTAATACAGATGCATGTCTGTGTGAGCAATTCAACACACACACACACACACACACACACACACACACACACACACACACACACACACACACACAGACTCTCAACTACCTCAGAACATGCTGCACAGCTGTCTGTATGCATTATTCAGATTCAAACAGTCAGAATTGCTGCAGTTTCTATTTTTGCAAACTACTCCAGGCAAGATGAAGGAAGGGCATGACAGACAGGAGGAAGGGCTAAATCAAGAAAGTGAAAATTGTGAGGAAAAGATGAAAATGAACAGGAAAAGGGGACAGGAGATTGTTTTCTGGGGGGATATTTGGAGGAAAGGGTGGTCTTCTATCTTCCCCTCCCCCCTTGTGTCATCTGGTCTACCCATGTGTACAAAGACAATCTGCAGAAGACTGATAAAGACCCTGGATTATGACTTGGCCATCTTATTAATAATACAGAAATCACAACCTTTTACAGATATCTGTGCAAGGAACAGGCCGTCTCATCCACTGAGCAAAGCCTCTGCACGTCTTTGTGAAGTGAAGCTGTGATTAAGTATCCACTGCCACCTACAGGCAGACTTCATACACAACGGTATATTCACAAACTCAAGTTTTTATCCATATACTTCTTACTATCCTTCCTTCATCCACGCATTTTCATTTCTTGACGCTTGACTTGCATGTCTTTGGACTGTGGAAGAAAACCCAAGATGATGCAACACCACACAGAAAAACCTCAGTCATGTTTAAACTTGTAGCCACTCCATCTTCATCTACAACTGTAGCATCAAGAGAGAGATTAAACAAATTGTTGGTGACACCAGGAGAGTGAATAGTGTGAAAAAAGCAAACAAAGAGGGGTATGAAATAAGATGAGGAGAGAGGGAGGTGTGGATATAAGCAGCAATCTCAGATTTGTGTGTTTGCATATGAAAATCAGCTCAGTGAGGGACTTTACCTGGGAACACTAGTCAAATAGGTCAGCACGTTGTGAAACTCTCTGTCGGTGATCTCTCCAAATGCAGGGAACTCTGGGAACACAATGATAGGGCTGCCATTGTCTCCTCTCCCCCCTAGAGAATGAACAAAAAAAAAAGAGAAACACCGATACTGATACTTTCCACATGAATATATAGGACTTATGCAAGAATGCTTTGTGCGTATCGCCTTGGGTATAAACAAGGCAAAGACAAAACCATTGAAACTCATCATAGCTTCCATTGTTTCTGGGCTGCTGTCAAGAGCTTTGTCAATCAATCTGACAAGGTCTTTTGATATTTTACAGTAAACAAAAGAGAGCAGTGACTAAGAAGAAACTGTGGCCACATGGGGGCACTGATGTTAAAGCTGTGGAGGCTGTACAGAAAAAAAAAAAAAAATCAGTATCCCATCATAACAAATTAGTCTCGTCCACTTACATCTACAAACAAGCAAAGATATGCTGGTGATCTGACATGAATTAATTCCTTACCACAGTGCAGACAGACCGCTTAGTCCTAAATACAGGGATTTAGAAAAAGAAATGTTTGCTAGACGCTTGATCACTATGGGATGTAAATCTTCACCACCCCCCTCTTATGCTGCATGGATTAAAAGTGTTTTCAGCTATAGTATTACATTATAAAAAATCAGATACATGTTGAAGAAGGTCTGTGAATACTATTTTTTATTTATTTATTTTGTGGGGTTCCCTGCAGATCCATCTAATTTTACTTTGTCACTGTTCCTGACTCTCCCTGTGGTGCTTATTTAGAGAACTGAGGGATATTCCTGTTATTCCTTCCCCTTTGGTTTGTCTAAGGCCTGTACAAGAAATCAGTTTGAACCCTCTTGTTCTCTTCTTTACTCCTCTTCTGTCACATTGGCAGCTATTAATGCAAACTTTTACACATTTACTAGCCTTGCATTATACGCCTAAAAAAAGAATTAAGCACAAAGCAAGACTAAGGCTCCAAGTGTTGACAGTTGAGTGTTAAAAATAATAAGTGATATTATCTCATTATCTTACCCCCTTATTGCCTCATCTTACTACAAAATTCACCTTAAAACCCTGGTTTCAAATCTTAAGCAACTCTCTTTAATTTATTACTAAATACGCAACAATCAAAGACAGCATTTAGAAACTGTTCTGAATAATTAATTATAAGGAGTTTAACAATTAAGAATACAGCAAATCTGCTTCCTCAGGACTGTGTGGGTACGGTTTGATCAGATTTGATTTGTCGTTTGGAAACATAAGCAAACACGTGCAATGAGATTTTGATGCTAAATCCTGATTGGCAAACAGAAATATGTGACATAGCCTTTCTCCAACTGAGTTCCAGGCACTTAAAACCAGTGAGAAGAGCACAGAGAAAAACAGAATAATACAAAAATATAGAGCAGAAAGCGCTTATGTGAAATAACCAAAACTGGCACAAGGTTGTGTTCCTGTAGGAACCCATCACTTATATTAAGAAGCCAACTGAGAAAAATGTTTTGAGGGCTTATCTCACCTCGCACACACACACGCACACATGCGCACACACGCACTCACTCCTTGTGTGGAACAGCTGCTCTGTCAGCGCATGTGACTGGAATATCAATCTGTCTGCCTTTTCTTCTCTCATTGCTATAGCAACAGCAAGTGCATGGTCATGGTTTCAACGTCTGCTTAGATCTTTGTCTGCAAAATGGTTCCCGACTCTGCTGCAGCCACAAGGTCGACTCTGTCACACACACAGCTTTTTTTTTAATTTTTTTAAGTAATGTAGTAATGAATATAATAATAGGTGTCACAGATATCCAGCAATCTCTGCAACAGAAGGCTCAAATATTGTGGGGACGAAAACATGTTTATCATGACCTGGACATTTAGAGGCAGTGAGTGAAATGCAGATCAGGCAACAGTAGCAAAAAACGCAGTAAGTATCTGGAGCAAAACCTGTCAGCCAGTGAAGAGGAAAAGGAGGGAGGTGACATTTGAATAGCAAATCATGAGTGCCAGGAAAAACTGTTTCCGTGAACAATGCAAATATCAAGTGGAATAGTTAATATGTAATGATTATTGAAATGGCAGAGATGAGGAAGAGGATAGTTGGTAGATTGATGAAGAAAGAAATGGACAGCACATGGGTTGCACTCGACTCAAGAGAAAATGGAAACACATGCTGATACAGACAGAGCAAGAGGAGTGTCACCTGAAAGGAAGGCAAACTGCTTCTTGAGGTCAGGGGTGATGTCAGCAGCTCGGAGAGGACTGCTGTCCAGCTGCATGATTTCATCTGGAAAAACAGAGAGAAGTGCCAACATTAGTGACACATCAGAGCTGACGATATATGGCATGAAGCCTGAGACCAACTTCTCAGCTCTGTTTCATTATCAAGTTTGTTTATAATATGGCACAATAATTAGCATTTTCACACATAACCATCAGGTGATGTAAAGTGGTCCATTGTCATCTATGCTATGCACAGGCAGAAATAAAATGTAACACACATTTTCACTGAAATTTTACTCTGGAAGTAGCATTTCAGTGGTGATCACAGCTCTCTAACCCCCATGGACTCCCTCCATGTGGATTAAAATAATCAGATTTAAGATCCATTGCCCCAATAGGAAATGGAGATTGTAGTTATACCAGGGCTCAAACTGGTGGTTGAACAGCAGACACCGATAGGGTAAGGGGGGCTCAGAGGGGGGGCATTAAGAGTCTAGCCAGTGACTTTTTGGCCAGCTGACACACTGCACACATATATATATATACATATATATATATACACATACACATACACACACACACAGACACATATATATATACACACACACACACACACACACACACACACACACACACACACACAGATACCATGTAAGAAATTCTTACAGTAACATATTCAATAAGGCAAATAATTACTTTTCCATTGTGGTGTAATTTGTAAGACAAAGCACAAATGGAGATATTTATTTACTCTGATGAAGTAAATGTAGGTTAAACTGAGAAACATCTGACAGCTGCTAGTGCCCACGAATACTACGCATTAAACATAAACAGTCTCCATGCTGTGAACAGTGTATGCATTGATTTGTATTCAGGAAACTTTTGAATGAAGACTGGCCACAGTTCAACTTGAAACTGAGAGCTACGCAAGGGAAAACAGATCAATAGAGGAAAATTGGTGACGCAGAGTTCTTTGGTATTAGATTATAATGCTATTGCTTTGCGTCTCTCTCACACTATTCACAGTCACATAAGCTAAATGTTCTCATCCAATAATTACATTTTACAAGGTCAATACAATTTAAGATTCACCTTGTATGTATCTTTTTACATCTGTGGCATTTACAGTATACAAGTTATTTATCCTCCCATATAAAAGAAACAAATGACAACATTCACATTTATTTCACTACATCCATGCACTCAGTTTCATGTCTCTTTATTCAGTTGCTGTCTGTTATCAATGTCAAATGTAGATGTCATACCGACAAGCCTGAGGGAAACAGGGTACACTGTGAGAAGCTACTGTAAGGTAACTCATTTTCCTTGGGGCACTTTGACAAAGAAACAATTGTTTTAAGATGCAGTTCAACAATACCAGTAAAGATAAAAAGCTTACTGGCCATGTTTAAAGATGCCTGCATATTTTATATCTAGTTCGAGCCGAATGGGGCCTCCATGTCATGAAAGCTAAGAGACCACATCTCAAGTTAGAGCCAATATAGTTCAGAGTCATAAAAACATGAGACATTTTATGATACTGTACTTCAGGTAAAATTTGGCTGAAGCTGTGAAAATCAGGAGGAAAATGACAAGGAGGGCCATCTAGAGACCAGAAAGGCCTGGAGGTTATGAGAAGGGAGTTTCTCATGGTCACTGACTTCCTGTAAAAGTGGTTACAGTACACACATACACAGATAAGTTCAAGTAACAGCACCGGAACAATATTGACTTTTCATCTTAGTCTGACTTTGTTTGCTCTGTTTTCCTGAGGCAGCCTCCACTGACTCACCATGCCACTGCCACGCTGGAAATGTTGTTCAATACAGTTCATGTCTTTCAGGATAAAAAAAATACTTTTCTAATACCTTTAGAGATATAACACAGTATAAAAAAGGTAACAAGTCTCCCCATTCCTTTGTTTTGTCAGAATATTATTGTACTAGCATGGTAAACTCAAAGAGACACTCAGACGAAACACACCTATAGTCTCAAAGAAACAAGGAAATCAAAAACTATACTGACACGACATAGATGGCACTGTACCTGTTCTGTGATGCATGACAAAGCGCTGACACCAGGCTTAGACCCAGAACCAAGACACATCCACCTAGTCCGACTTCATACTCACTGGAGCCAAATCCATCACGGATTATCACATTGTATCCCTCAAAGTTATGTGTGTCGTTTCCGTCTTTCTCCCGTATGTTCGGATGACTGTCTCGTTACTGAGCATATCCCTTTCAGTTTGAGCCCTCCTCTGAGAGCAGCTTAAACAAACCAAAAAGGCTTGCTGTTACTCTTGTTTGCCAATGAAACCTATCAGGTGACTTAGCCTTGAGGTATTACTACATTGACATTCATTGCTTGCTTGCTCTCTCTCTCTCACACGCGCACACACACACAGACACACACACACGGGGACAGGACTTATGTGTCTTAGCTTGGTCTCCTTTAAACCTTTTTCCTCTGAGACCAGCTGGTGCCATGACTGTTCTGTCAAAACAACATCAATCAAAGATTTTTCCCAGGGGACTTAAAGGACCATACCAGGGCTTTTGCATGTGTAAGCTTGTTGACAACTAAATAGCATAAATGTCAAAAGTTTTGCATCCCTGTTCAACACCTTTGTGTTTTCTTCATAGCAGTATGATAAATTGGAAAGAAAAAAAAATGGAAGATGCATCTGTCTTAACAAACCACGAAAAAGCATGTTTAGACCTACAGTACAAAACGCTGCAGGATACAAGCAGGAATACTTTGGAAAAATCTCCTTGTTGCTGCGCGCAGTGATGCTCTGATATCCAACACTTGAGAAAAGTGTGCCAAAAAGTATTTGTGGAGATATGTTGCGAGATGAACCACCCACACACCCACCCACCCAATATGGGCACCTCATCTGAAAATGCTAGTGTGAATCTGGTGGTTTCTTGCATTAAATTGTTGCTGGTTTGCTGATCTTGTGCGACAGGATCAGAGGTGTGGGCAAGGTCAAGCTAAAACGTTGGTTAGAAAACAGGTGGCGCAAAGTGGTCTGTAATTATAGGTTAATGAGTTTACACTAGTCCACTACATCCAGGAATACATAGACACATACACACACACACCCCCCTTGAACACACATGCAGTGTTTTGTAAATTGTACATATTACACACAGGCAGATAATTAAATAGGCAATTCCAAACCTGGAATTAAAACCTTAATAACGCAGTGTGACCAAAAAGGTGCTGTTCAAATCACACTCATCAGTTACAGCAATCTGTTTCCTCTCCTCCTCCACTGGAAATGCTTCTGTCTATGATACAGCAAAGGTTGCACTAGCTCATCTATAATAAATTAAAAGCCTCTCTGTTGCTGGACAAACATATTGATTGCATGCATTTTTTTGTCTGCTCTTAGAACCAAATCACTGTTGTCCTTTCTATTCTTACCAGACCTACAGGGAATAAGGTATCTGCTATCTTGTCTATTGACTGGATACCATTTCCAATAACATCTGTAGTTAACAGATATTGATGAGAGACAACTGACTGATATCTACTGATGTTACCTGAGAGACAGCTTCCTTTTCTTCTTTTCTTTGAAATTAACCTCAGGCAAGGGTGTGTGCACCAAAATGGCTCCTGAACAGAAGGCAAGCAAGTGGAAATGAGACTAGATAAATGACCCATATCTGTGATGTTTGTAATTTGGTAAAGCAGCGTTGCCATGTTGATGATGTCCACTTGATGCCTGAGGCGTTTGGACACAAAGCTGCATCTACAGAGCGCTCACAGGTGCTGACACGCTCCTTATGGTCTCAAGTTCACACAGAAACCTCCATCAGCTCCCACTGTCTGACCCTGCCTCCCTCAGCCAGCCACGCCTTGCCCCCAGCTACTCTCACACATATCAAATCAAACCTCCCCACCCCCGCCCCCTACCTAACAGCAAGAGCTCGACTTTGTTTCCAGAAAGCGGCTATTCTGTTACTGAAAAATCCCCTTCTTAAAAGATGTCAGATTTGAGTTTCAGTCACTTCTTAGTGTCACTTTTTGTTCTACATTTACAAAATAATATCCACTAAATTTTCTCTATATTTGTTTTTACCCACCCCCCACCTTTCTTCTGATCGTTTTGGGGACTTCCTCTCAAACTTCCACTCACCGTTCACACAGTATTATACAACCCTTAAAAGGCCCTCTGGCCACCTGAAAGGGAGAGGGAGATCCAGTATCAGATACTACTGTATTTACAACAAAAGGACAGTGAAACCTCTCAAGTGTTTTTTTCCCCCCCATTTCTTTTTCACATATGTTCACTCATCGATAAGTATCGATGATGTCACAGTGATCTAATGAGAATTGGGGGAAGTATGTGTAAGAAACCAAGTTTATTATTAATGTCTTCTTGGCTCTGAATGAAACTGTCTGTGTATATTGACGAACAGGCCACATCCTCCCAACAGGAGAATAAGTTATGAAGCTCATTGACGATAAGGGCTTGTAGTGTTTATTTTACTCACATTAGCCTGTATTGTATTACATGATAGATAATTAGAAGATACCATTGTATTTGCTGTTTTAATTCTGGAATAAAATGACAATTACAGTGCTTTGTCTGCTCTTTGCTGACAAGGTAATTCTGTTACTGAGAAAACACACATCCTGAACATAAAATGAGTCCAACATACCCAACAAAACACACACTCACATACACACCACCTGCTGGTTGAGGCGCTAATGTTCTTTAAAAGGCTTAACGATAGGGATTAGTGTCCACTCATGCTCACGTTTGTGGGTGATGAGTCAAACGTTAGTGGGTCACAGTCACACACCTGGACCGCCTGCCACTACTGATGCAGATTAAAACAGGACTAGAGCAGAAGGCTGCTATCCTAGTTTGCCAGACCAGAAAGGACAAAAACACATTAAAAAAAACAAAAAAACATCTCAACTATAAAAGCTGGTTATTAGACAGTTAATGTTTAAGAAATAAGTGCTTCAGCCAGAGCTGCTTGTTTCTTCCTCCTCCTTCCCTGCCATCATATAAGAAATTATTCTAAAAATATAATAAAC